ATTCCTGCTCTGGAAATGCAACTTTGCTCTCCTTTCCCTCCTATTTTCCCAGCATCCCTAGGAGTCTTACAGGGTTTACTTTGGTTACAGTTCTCAACGTAAACCTTCCAAGTCCGTTTTTTAGAAAGTGAACGTACTACGTTCTCCTGTGTGTATCATTCCTAGAAAGAGAAGGGGAACAAAATATTTTTGAACTGATTTTGAGGACAAGATCATTTCTAGAGGTTGTCCTTTAATTCTTTTGCCTGCTTGCAGTGCTTTATATAAACCATCCCAGGAAGAAAGATGCAAGTTTTTCTATTTGTTTTTCTATTTGTGGGTATAGTTTTATCCTTGCCAGTCTAGCTATTATGGTTCTTCTCCCCTTTTTGTAACAAGAAAAAGAGAAATTTGGAATGACCAAGAGATAAGCTAATCCATGCAAGAAGCAGTTACCCCAGGTCCTGCCACTTCCTGCCAAGTGTTCCTTTGGCTGCCAGTGTAAAACACATTTGTCCAGATCTTAGGACTCTAGACCTGCTTTATACACTCATCCAGTCTTAGCTGTAGACCCTCTTTCATACATCTCTGCAGGAAAAAAACATGTCTCAAACAATATGCCATTGCCATTTAGGACCGAACCTTTCTTAGGTCAAGGGACTCAGTGACAGTCACGTTCCTTTTATTGGGGGATCACAGATTCTGTGTTCTGATTTTCTGATCACAGGCCTATTCACCAAACCTCCCTCCACACTGTGGCCTGAGTTACTGGTGCACTTAGTAGGTTCTGTCTAAAGACTTTCTACTTTCAAAGACAGGAAGTAGACAGTTTGACTAGTTTACTAGTACCCTAGCCAGCCCTATTAGGAGGTTGGAAAGGGAGGAAATATAAGGCAGCTTTTGATATTTTTGCTACCATTTTTTTTTCCTCTGAAGTAGGCATGATACTCCTTTTTTTTGCAACTAATATAGACACTTACTAGAGACGTTTTCCTTTTGTAAAGTCACCTTCTAGATAATGTACAATTATCGTCATCCTTGTGTTTTGATTGTGACTGCACCTCATCTGCTCTCTGCAGTCAAGGTCTCTCTAATGTCCTTGACTCTGTCACAGACAGAAGCGTTTTAGGCACTGCAGAAATAGGGGAATAGTTTTCTTCCTCTTCCTTGGGTCAGTTAATGATTGGTCCCATGGCCACACTGTTACTTCTCCCCAGTGCTGTGCTGTGATGCCCATGACATCTGGAAAGTTAGCTCTGCTGGGGCATTATGTAGATACTAGCAGGTGAATTGCCTGCTCTGCTTCGGTTTGAGTGATGGTCTTCGTTCCTGCCATGGCTTGGGGGGGGTGGGGTGTCTGTCACTGCTTCCCACTTACCTGACTTATGTCCATAGCCCCATATGTGTTGATGTGGCAGTCTATAATTTTTTTTTTTAATTTCCAGTCATGTCTAAGTTCATTGAACCCAAAGACAGTATTTAATTCTGCCCTGTTACAAGCAGGTAAACTGTGTCTATTCTGTGTTTTATTATCTCATGTAATGACATTCCACCCACCCTTTCCTACTATGCATTTTACCCTGAGACCATTTATTATTCACTGAGGGGAACCAGTCTGCACAGACCACTCTGGACCACCCCTCAGCTGCCCCTCTCAGCCTTCCTGCTCCAGCCCCACTGCGTGGAAGTATCCCCCCCCCCATCCAGCCACCAGATCATATGTATCCTCCTCCTTCCCCAGCACAGGGCAGGATCAACTTGTTTGTTTCTCCTTCTTGGGATACTTTAATTTGGATCCTTTCAGTCTGGTGGAAGGAAGTGTGAAATCTGCCATTACAGATGACAGGCTGCATTACTGAGGATGTTCGACACTGCCTTTCAAACATTTTCCCAATCTCTTAGGCTTAAACACTTCAGTTGTGTAGTACCCAATGAAAGGGCAGGTAAGATGGATAATCCTTTTCTCACGTGGGTCTGAATTAGAGACTAAGTTTTTAATGGGACACATCTTTAATGCCATATATAAATTCCCGCATGTTTGTTTTGTTTTTATTTTTATAAATTCTTTCTTTATTTGACTCCTCTTCTGCTTGCCTTTGGGGGTAGTTTCTTTTCGTTGTTGTTGTTTGTTGGTTTCTTCTGTTTTGTTTTAAGCATCTTTTTCTGACTTATGGTGGGGGAGGGAGAGATTCGAGAGAAAGAGACTGAGAGTTAAAAGATTTCAGTGTAAGCAGTCACCTGTGATGCTCACGTCCACTATATCATCTTATTACTGCATTTGCTAATTTGTAATTCTTGCATAGAACAAAACCAAAGGTGTAATTTTTTTTTTTTTTTGCAAGTGGTTTGGGATTTGGGCCTTAACCAGTACATTGAATATTTGAAAGGACAGTTTGTACGCCCTGAAGCCCCCACCAGTAACTGGTACTGTGGCAACTCCCCTGTGTACATTTCTCTTTAAAAGTGATATTATTCTATCTGTTTGTATGCAACATCCAGTAACCAGTAAATTGACCGCATTTTCCTGACTACCTACAGTAAGGAAATGCACATTTTGTTTTTACTTTTCAAACTTTCATTCTAAAAGTAGTTAAGATGAAATTTATATGAAAACATTTTTATCACAAAATAAAATGGTTACATATCAAACTCCGTGGAATTGCATTTTTAAAATGTTCTGTTTTCATTCCTGCCTTGTAGTCATACCTCACGATGTCATAACTTGCTGAGAAATAATTTTCTTGTCTTTCAGAATCCCTTCTCTTCCTCTAGTCAGACGTAAATAAATGCTTTTGAGGAAAAGGCTTCCACCAAAAAAATTCCCATCACAAGGCCAAGTCACTCTTCAGTACACAGCCATAGCTGGTGACATACGGACAGAGGCTTAGGACAATATGCTTTCCAAGGGAAATGGAAAATGTTTGCTAAAGCAAGAATCAAAAGTTGGGAGAGGGGCCAGCAGGTACCATAGTTAAGGCACTAGACTCTCACATGGCCAGCCACAGTTTGAGTCCTGGACCTAGCAGCTTGCTTTCTTCCAACCCCCCCTCACTCGCCACCTCTGGTGATCACACATACCCTATAGCAAACTGGAAAGTAATAATAAGGATAAATAAACAATTCTTTTATTTTTAAAAAAGATTTTTTGCTATAGGGCTTGTGCACTCACCAGAGAGACAGAGACAGAAAGCATGAAATCACTCCCTAGGGGCACTGGTCATACCTCAATCCCTTCTCCTTCATTCCCTTCTTGAGATATTAGGCATGCACACACACGTGCCCGGTGTGAGTTTTAAGCTGCAGGGCCCAGGACTTGAACCACAGTTGACTATGTAGGAGTTCAGCGACATAACCATTACACCATCTGCTGGTGCCTAAATAATTCTTTTTTGTAAAACATAGGAAAATTGGGAGATATCTCATAATAATGCTGCTACCTAAACCACTGGTTCATGATAATTGTCCCTCATATTAGATTTTGTATAGAACTTATGGAATTATAAAATTTTAGTTTGCACATTAATTTGTTACCAAGTTAATATTTGTACAATTACTTAAAAGTCCAGTGAGACGTTTGGACTTGAATATCGGTGATATGTATGGCATTAGCAGTCATAGCAACCATAGCATCCAGTTTATCTCCATGACCTACAATTTTACAGAAACTTCTGAATATATCAGTACAAATGATAGCAGTATTTTAAAAAATGAATTGACTTGAAGTCTTTTTTTTATTTTTTATTTTTTATTATCATCATAATCTTCTTTATATTACATTGGATTACATATAACTTTACAGTGTATTACATTGTTTTTTCAAAAGGGAATGCCATGCATGTCCGTCAGTACAGAGCCATTAATCTCCCCACTTCAACATTCAATATCTTTTCCCCAATCATTATTTTTATTATTCTAATTATTTTTTAAAACAGTCAATCGCTATTTCTCATTTTGCTTGTAAAAATACTTTGCCCATCATGAAATACTTTTGACTTGAAGTCTTAAGATATGCTTCAGTTAAGCAGAAAAAGGCACTTTATTCAAGATCGGCCCAAAAATCGTTGAACACAATTGGTGGCACATATTGGTTATCTCTAGGGTGTTTTGATTTTATATAGAATACATTGGAGTCTTCATGTGGGTTTTAGTAAGGTGTAAGATGAAAATAAATCAAAGCTCAGGAATGACCACCAGCCTCTCAGAGCTGGAGCTGCCTCTTACAGACCATGTGTGAACTACAACTTGCTCCATGGAAATCTGCTTCAGTGGATCTGGGCTGCAGGACACTGGCCCACTGACCACATCCTAACTCTGTAGTTGTAGACTTTGGAACCTGGCCGTTGGGGTACAGGGAGCATCCAGGACTCTCCCACACATGAATGCCAAGGAGGGAGAGCATGGTTGGAGGCCAAGCACTGCCACATTCACATCCAGGACAGTGGGCTTGGCCACTAGGCCCAGATCAAGGTAGGGGGGGAGCGGGTTACCTCAGTCATGCAGCTAAAATGCCTGATGGCTAAAGGGGGCAGCTGGGTTCTCTTTCAGAATGTGAACAACAGAACACCCTTCTTATGCCCACATGCTGTCAGGATATGGGTGGTGCAGGAACTGTGAGTTGTTAGGACCTCTGCCACTAAGGTTTCCAGTCATAGGGTGTCGAGGGATGTGTGTGCACGTGTGTGTGTGTTGGGGGGAGGGACAGGTAGGT